ATACCCTGAAATTTAAAATCAAGTTGAGGTTTTTATCAGCGCATTTCGCAATGATAATGCCCTAGAGTATTTGTTTTCCCCATTTCAGTAGTTTATGAACTCTCACGGGATCATTCATCAAACATCATGTCCGTACACATCTCAACAAAACGTGGTGGCGGAAAGAAAGAATAGGCATCTCACTAAAAGTGCTCGTATCGTACTCATACAATCTCATGTTTCGTTACGTTTTTGGGGGATGCATTTCTCACGTCTTGTTATCTTATCAATCGTATACCATCCTCAACTATCCATAATCAAGTTACATTCTCTTTCATGTTTCCTCACTCACCGTTGTTCTTTCTTCCACCCCTTGTCTTTGGGAGCACTTGTTTTGTTCATAACTTTACTCCAGGAAAAGATAAGTTAGCTTCTCGTGCTGTTAGGTGTGCATTTCTGGGTTACTCGAGAACACAAAAGGGATATTGATTCTATTCCCCTGACCTCTAGCAATGCCTTATGTTTCCTGATGTTACCTTCTTTAAAACCAAGCCATACTTCACAGGTCCATGTGACACTTAGACATTTGTGAGGTGTTACTACTACCATCGTTTTGAGATGCAGTCACTTTCTCCCCTTCATCTCCCTCCACTACTCCTGCTCCACCACTTACAGTTTCAGTTCCATCACTTACAGCTCCACCACTTTGGCCTTGTATGTCGGTTCCAGCTCCACCACCTACAACTCCAGTCCTATCACTTACGACTCCAATTCCATCACCGACAGGTCCAGTTCAATCTTCTACAGCTCCACATTCCTAACTTATCATCACCGTCAGCGTTCAACATCAGGTCCAGATGATCACGTCTAGTATTAGGTCCTTCACCTACTGCGGATTCATTTCCTTCTAGTCTACGATCGCCCTTCGGGAAGGTATAAAATTAACTCTTAATCCCAATTGTATTGGTTTGAGTTATCATCATTTATCATCACCCCAACATGCCTTTGTGTTATCTTTGTCCTCTATTTCTGTCCCTTAGTCCACAGGTGATGCGCTATCTCATTCTGGATGGCGACATGATACGATCGGAGAGATGTCTTCTTTACATGCTAGTGAGACATGGGAGCTTATTTCTCTACTTTCAGGTGAATCTACTGTTGGTTGTCGGTGAGTTTATGTAGTTAAAGTTGGCCTAGATGGTCAAATTGATCGCCTTAAAGCCTGCCTCGTTGCCAAAGGTAATACTCACATATTTGGGCTTGATTACAGTGATACTTTCTCTCCCGTGGCGAAAATAGCATATATTTGCCTTTCTCTATCCATGGTGGTTGTTCGCAAATGTCCTTTCTATCAGTTGGACATTAATAATGTTTTTCACCACTGTGACTTTGATGATGAAGCTTGTATGAAGCAACTACCTGGTTTTGTTGCTCAGGAGGAGTCTAGTGGCCTTGTATGTCGGTTGTGCTGCTCACTATATGGTTTGAAGCGTTCTCCTCGAGCATGGTTTGGTAAGTTTAGCACATTTATTCAGGAGTTTGACATGACTTATAGTGAAGCCGATCATTTTGTATTTTATTGGTATTTTGCTCAAAATTTGTGTAGTTATTTGGTGGTTTATGTTGGCGATATAGTTATTACCAGGAATGATCAGAATGGTATGATCAGAATGGTATCGCTCGTTTGAAGCAACACCTCTTTCAGCATGTCCAGACTAAAGATCTGGGAAGGTTGAAGTACTTCTAGGTATTGAGGTCGCTTAGTCTAACTTAGGTGTTGTTATTTTAAAGCGAAAGTATGCCTTAGACATTTTTGAGGAGACATGAATGACGGGTTGTAGACCCATTGGCACTCCTATGGATCTTAATTGTAAACTTCTACTAGGACGCGCGCGCGCGGGCGGGGGGGGGGGGGGGGGGAAGGAAGAGGGCTCTTAGCGATCCTGCCAAGATATAGGCAGCTTGTTGGTAAATTGAATTATCTCACAATGACTAGACCTGATATTTCCTTTCCTGTGAATGTTGTAGGCTAGTTTTGTGGATTCTCCCAATGATAGTCATTAGAATGTAGTTGTCTATATTCTTCAATATATAATATTATCCCCAAGAAAAGGATTATTGTTTGAGGATCGAGGTGCTGAGCTGACCGTGGAATACAAAGATGTTGATTGGGCAGGATCACCTTGAAATAGACGTTCTACGTTGGATATTCTGTGTTATTAGGAGGTAATTTGGTGTCTTGTAAGAGTAAGAAACAGAATGTAGTTGCTTGGTCTAGTGTAGAAGCAGAACATGGAGCAATGGTTATGGTAACACGTGAGCTATTTTGGATAAAACAGTTACTCAAGGAAATATAATTTGTTAAATTCAGTCACATGGAACTTGTGTGTGATAATCAAATTGCCCTTCGTATTGCATCAAATCCGGTGTTTTATGAGAGGATTAAGCACATTGAGATTAATTGTCACTTCATTAGAGAAAAGATACTCTCAGGAGATGTTGTTACAAAGTTTCTGAAGTCACTTGCAGATATTTTCACCAAGTCTCTTACTAGTCCAAGTATTAGTTACATTTGTAATAAGCTCGGCACGTATGATTTATATGCGCCGGCTTGAGAGGGAGTGTTAGATAGTTTACATATATATATTAGTATGCTTAGTCCCACATTGGAATAGGAGTAGTATGTATTTGTAGAGTGTAGATATAAATAAGCTTCTTGTATTATAGTAAAGTGATACAAATTAATAATTTAGTAATATAGATTTTCCGTGCTATTTCTCAGAAGAATGATTATATGTAGTTAGAACAACTTATTTTGATGGTTGTTATTGAAGGCATAATTCAGTAAATAAAAGTAGGAAAAATTACTCTCATTGTCAGTTGGCCCAACATTCTAATAAAATTGGGCCTATATTTTCCCTTCTTACCCGGTATGGCCCAGTTTGTACATAAGTTGAATAATTATTTTCATCGATTAGCCACATTACTTTCCCCAGTCTCTTTTTCTTTATGCGAAAGAATTTTTTTCATTCCCAATTCATAATTCTAATCAGTTTTGTCTTTCAGATTTTCTCCCCACCCCTCTTTCTCTTTCATTTTCAATTCGCTCTTGCTTTCTCTCTCTCTCCCTCCCTCTCCCCCTCTCTCTCTGGCAAAATAGTCGAGTTCTTCTTCAAATTTCCTTGCTCCATTTCATTTGTATCTTCCTCTTCCACAAAATAACACTGTTGAACAATCCACAGCCGGATCTATCTTTTGTAGTCTTTTTCTTTTCGATTCAGTGCTCGCCGAAGCCGATTCCGACTTTGACATTAGAGGATCCTTTTATTCTCTGGTCGTTGGTGAATATACATATATCTGATCCATTCATGGTACTGCGTTTAGTGTCTTGCTTGAGTTTGGTAATTGTTGAAGTTATACTGCTTTTGGCATTTTGGCGAATTTTGTTACAGAAAGTTGTACTGCTGGAATTAAACTTGTGGTTCATGTATTACCCAATGGCAAATGTTAGTTGTGCTGCTTTGCTTTATGAAGAAAAGCTGGGCTACATCCCGTTCGAAGAAAAAAAAATATATTGAGTGGTTATCTCTTTTTATTGTCTCTTATTCTAAGTTATGAAATCTCTTTTTCTTTTTTGGTAATTTTTCCTTCTTCTTCTTCTTCTTCTTCTTCTTCTTCTTCTTCTTCTCACTTTTAGTGGACTTCCGAAGGGAGGAAGAATGATGTATATGTTGTATAACTATATATACTTTGTATAATCATGTATAACCATATATATTTGTGTGTATTCTCATAGTTATACAGAATTATACATGATTATACACAAGTATACAAGATTATACATAATTATAGAAAATAGATAATTGTAAAAAAATATTTGGATTTCTTGCCTTCAGATAGTGTGTATTATTATATATTTGTGTATAATTAACGTATGACTATGTATAACAATGTATATAAGGTGTTTAATAATGTAAATTTTTGTTTTTTCTTGTGAAATAAGAATTTCCCTTACAAAACTTTTAATTTTGCAAAAAAAAAAAGTTGAATTATAGACTTTAAGGATAAATATATTTTTTACTTCAACTTCCTGATATTGTGAATTTTAGGAAATACTATAAAGAGGGAAGTAAAAAATAAATAAGAATGAAAATTGAAAAAAGGAAAAGATAAAAATGAAAGAAAAAAGCGGAATCTGATTTAGGCGTGATTATGGGTGTAGTTGACGAAGTTCGACGAAATTTGCGAGTTTGACTTGTTTTCATAAAATTGATTAATGTTTGTGGGCTACCGGATGAAAATCATATTTGTGGGTTAGGCGGGTGAAAAGTACTTTGTACAAGTGTATTTTCATGTAAATTTCCCATAAAAGTATACTCTTTCTAACAACTTATGCTTTTAGATGTGATGGTTACACACTTCAACATGGTATCAGAGCAGGCAGAGGTCCTTGAGTCGAGTCTCACCGCTGCCCAATATAAAAAAGAATTTTCACGTGCTTGACTCATCAAAAAGAATCAAACCCGCATATGAGGGAGTGTGTTGAAGACATAATTTAGTAAATAAAAGCGTGCTCTTTCTAACAGCATAAACTTTTAAATGAGATGGTTACATACTTCAACAATTATAAAGGATAGAATTTGAGATTTTCTGTCTCAAAGTCGTGCCTTATCTCTTAGAAATGAGATAAATGAAAATAAATCCCTGGTTGGGGCTTTCATCAAGCGGAAAAATGCAGGGCGTGTGTGTTGTGCATGCTAAGCATGAACTGCACGCACAAGACTTCCCACAAACAGACAAAATGCCCTTATGCTATTGCATGTTGTGCGTGCAAGCTTGCGCCATATGCACATGGTCTTCCTGGTGACATCCTTCAGTAAAATGAATAATGTTTTTTTTAGGAATCAAGAAATAACAAAATTTTAAACCGTAGAAACTAGAGTAAGAGTGTTACAACACTCTAGAGACCATACCATTATACTCCTACATCTGAAGTAATATTTTTTTGAATTTAGGTAACGTTTGTCAGAATCTAACCCCTAGTAGTTTCTTCCACCTTTTCTTTTTCCTAAAGTTTTCATTTACACCTAAACACTCTCATTTCACTCCTAATCTGCACAAACACATCTTTCAACCTTGTAGCACATAAAACTACGTATAATCGAATTAAAACTTAGCAAAAATTTTATGGTGCATAACAACTTGATCCTCTGGCCTATTTGTAGGTATTATAATGATAATGTCTATCCCTGGTTGGATGCATATACAGAAGATGTTGGCTCTGGATCACATTTACACATCAGTTTGTCTAAGAATGGAGAAAACGTTTTTACGGCATCTGAAGAACCAAATCGGTATGGGATATCGAAGATTGGAGAATCGTTCATGGCTGGGGTGTTAGATCATCTTCGTTCCATATGTGTATTTACAATGCCTATCCTTAATAGGTAAAGATAATTTTTATAACTCTTAATGCATTGTTACCTTTGTATCTATTGGTGGCTTGTTTATGCTCTCTCTGGATTGCTAATTTTTCTAGATGAGCATATCTGTCTGATAGAAATATCTCAATCTGCTTTGTTGCGAGACTGCAGCACCATTTTCTCTATTTGAACAGTGACAGAGTTTTAACTAATTGCAACTACAAGGTGGAGCGACACTTTGAATGTAACAACAAGTGATTAATGATTTCTTTATGAAAATTTTGCAGTTTTATCTGTTAACCCAATGTTTAAATTGTGAACGATCTTATTTTACTCAAAATTTTGTTTATCAAAGCATGTCGGTCTGAATATACCAGTGATATATATATTCATGTCTTTTCTGTTTCCGTGAAATTAGTTTCAAAGAACTTTATATCCTACACTTAGATGTAAAGTATCCTTTAACATATTTCGTCAACTGGCAATCCATTACGTTGCAATCACAAATTAGTTTTGATCAACTGAGATACTTATATTTCTCTTTCTCCAATTTTTCTGTTTCATCGTTGTTAAGTATTGAAGTAATTACAAGAGATTCTATCTCCACCTTCTTGTGTGATGGACTTAATTAGGAGAGATCATTGAACATCATTGCCCCTTTTATTTTTTTGTTTTTGGAATTATGATTCTAAATACTCATGATGCACAGTTATCAGCGCCAAATGTTTAAGTCGCTGAATTCGTATTACCTTTGCTGGGGGATAGAGTGCAAAGAGTTAGTTGTAAGAGCTTGTTGCCCTCCTGGAGCTGCAGATATAGTAACCAATTTTGAAATTACAACATTTGATGGAACTGCAAACCCACACCTGGGTCTTGCTTGTATAATTATCGCTGGGATCAATGGCTTGCGGAGAAGATTGCCAATTCCAGAACCAGTTGGTAAGCTAGACATAACTCATTTTCCCAGTTTATGGGGTTGACATTTGTGACTTTTATCTGATATTCAACATATATTTTCTTCTTAAACAGAGCCAAACGCTTATGTCTTTGATTACAACGATTATAACGACGATATAAGAGTACCAGGGGATCTTAGAGACTCTATCATCCATATAGACTCAGATGAATGGTTTAAGGACATGTTGGGTGAGAACTTTGTGGAAACGAGCGGAGGAGTCGTCCGCGTATGTTTCAAACTTTGCTTTCTTCATGTTATCTGTTTGATAGAATTTCTGTTTATTCACTTAGCAACTGCAATTAGGCATAATAAAGTTTATTCATGTTATCTGTTTGATAGAATTTCTGTTTATTCACTTTATACCTTTGCAAGTTTCATGCAATCTATTACTAACAATTAGGCATAATAAAGTAAAAACGTATGTTGTTACTATAACAATTTACCATTGCATGGGCACAATGGCGGAGCCAGGATTTTCATTAAAGGAATTTCTGAATATAAAGAAGTAAATACATGAAGAAGCCAAGTGAATTCAAAGTATAGTAGTTATAGATAAAAAAATATTTCATCTATTTACGCAGTGTATTTTCGATAAAGAGGTGTCAATGACGTTCTGCCCTTGCATGAGGAAGTGCAAGCTATAACTTTCCTTTTCTTACGTACTTGGAGTGGCAATTGCCATAGTCAAGTAACCAAAACATTGGCTAAATCGTATATTAAGCTTAAGCCATATTTAATGTTCCTCCAATTCATGAAATATTTGTTAACATGCTGAGGATGATTTCATATTTTGCAGGAGGAGCTTGGACACAGGCAGTGCGATAGAGAAAAAATATACGCGTACATTGTATTCAATTATTAGGTTTACTATATGCATCTGTAAGATAACGGTGGTTTATGAATTATTAATTGTCATATTTTAATTTCCTTTATTGTGTCCTATTTCATGTCTACTCGTCTTATGTGCTTGTTTAATACAGCATGATAGTAATTTTAGTTTCTAGTTTTCTTTTCCTCAGTAATTTTAGTTTCTCACTTCTGTTTAACTTTATATCATGCTTCTTGTCGATAGCTGTTGGTAAGAGATTAAGCTTTACTAAGTGTGTTGTATATCCTTTTGGTGTAACCGAATTCTTGAGCTCTTTTACTACCCAGGTTAGAAATTTGATTTCAAATTAAAATATTTAACATCAAATCCGCTGCTGCCATGAGGTTCTTTATACTTTTCATGTGTATAAAATAATGAGCTCTTTCACTGGTTTTAAAGATGAAGGTGAAAATGCACCCATTCCATCTAACTTCTTGTTTGGCTAGCCAAAGACACAGAACACAGATGATTGGTTTGATCAAGGTCATTTAAAGTACCCATTTCTGATGAAACTTCAATTCGATTATATGTTTCACATGATACCTAAGTGTAATGACCCGATTGGTCGTTTTGAGCTTTAACATTTCGTTTGGCGGTTTGAGACTTTGAGTAGCTTCATATTATGCATTATGACTTACGTATGTAGTTGGTTTTGACTTTTGAGAGGTTTAGAGTTGATATGGAAGAGTAATTCTCAATTCGAAAGCTTTAGGTTGAAAAAATTGACTAAGATTGGCTTTTAAGTAAACAACCTCGAAATTGGGTTTTGATTGGTTCAATAGGAACGTATGGTGATTTTCGACTTGGGCGTATGTTCGGAGTTGAATTTGGGTGTTCCTATAAAGTTATGACTCTATTTGTCGAAAGTTTGCAATTTGAACAATTGAAGAATTCACAAGTTTGAGCAGGAGTTGACTTTGAGGTTGTCGGAGTCGGATTGTTGTTCCGAGAATTGGAATAGGCCCATTTTGTCATTTGGGACTTGTGTGCAAAGTTTGGGTTCGTTCCGGACTGGTTAGACTTAAATAAGACATTTGGTTCGAAATTGGAAGTTTATGAACTTACAAGATTGATCGACGATTCTTGGTTTTGATGGTAATTGTGCTGTTTTGATTCTTTGGATAATGTATTTGGACTTGTTGGTATGATTGGACAGGGTCCCGAGGGGCTCAGGTGTGATCCGAGGTGGTTTCAGACCATTTTGGTTGTGTCGCATTACTGATTTCTGGTGTTGTTTTAATGTGCTTTGCATTCGCGATCAGTGAATAGCGTTTTTGTCGAGTGTTTTGGATTGCTGCTAATTTATTCAACGCGTTCACGATAAAGCTCTCGCATTCGCGGAGTATTGTGGATGATGGCTATCGCGTTCGCACAGGAAACTTCACGTTCATGAAGTGTTGGAGAAGGCTGGTCAATAGCCTTACGCATTCGAGCTTGGTCGCTCGTGGTCGTGCAGTTGAGAGGCCAATTGGCCTTTGCGTTTGCGTGGTGCACATCAAGTTAGCGATGAAGGTTTTAGGCGCTGGGTGAATTGTTCAACGTAAACACGGGCCTGAGGTCGTGTTCGCGTAGTGTACGACTGGGGCAAACTATATAAGTTGCTATTTTCGGAACTTTGCCCATTATTTCTTATTTTGAGCCCTACACTTTGAGAAGAGGAGATTTTGAAGAGCAATCCCAATACCACGTTGGAGGTAAACAATTTTTACTTAGATTTGGCTTTACATCTCGATTACCCATGAAATTCTACGCCTAAAACTTGGAATTTTGAAAGGAAATTTGGGGTTTTCGCCTACACTTTAAGAGAGTGTATTTTAGTTTGATTACTGATTTGGATCCGGTTTTGGAAAATAAATTACATATTTGGATTCGACAGGTTATGGGCATCGGATTTTGGTATTGGTTTCAGATTTCGGGCACGTGGACCAGGGTTGACTTTGTTGACTTTTGAAAATTTCATCAAAGATTAAAGCTTTAGGGATGATGATCGCTTCCTATGGCATTGTTGACTTCCTTGGATGATGTTCGGTTTGGGTTTGCGCAATTGGAGAGCTAGATCGAGGTTTTGACGCAGTTCGATGTTGAAGACTAGCACAAATGATGTTAGTATCTTGCCTAAGCTTGGTTTGTGGGTAATTTTTCCATTGGCTATGATATTTGTTATATGTTGGGGTGATGTATATGCGAGGTGACGACCGTATATGCGTGCATCATGGTTATTCATGATCCTGGTAGATCTTAGGCTATTATATACCTTGTTTTGCTATAATGCTTCTTTACTATTTTGTTTTCTCCACTTCTATGACTACGTAAACTATTATTTATTCTAGAAATTATGTCTAGGCTATTTGCTTATCTATTGAGACATGATATGACCGTTTATGCTATATTGATCTCTTTACCTTAGCTGTAGTCATATTCCTCAGTCATGATATTAAATTTGTGTGTTATTTATTTGCCTTAGTGTAATTTTTTATATAATCTCACATGTTGTTGGCTTTTGTGTGTGATACGAGCTTGAGCCAAATTGGGGCGTGTTGTTATATTCTCTACTGTATTTTGACTACTGGTATTGTGAGATATTGACATTTTGAGACTTGAGAGGATGGATGATTGATCTTAGGCCATACAACTATGTTGATATTGACACTGAGATGATGCGTGTGCCATGCCCCATGTTGGGCTGAGTGGTATTAATATTGAGGTGATACATGCGCTAGGCCCGTATGTTGGGCTAGATGACATTGAGCTAACTTAGATTCGATCAGCGTTTGAGCAAGTACCCACCCCTCTAGAGTCAGGTAATAACCGTGGGCGCAGGCACAAGGTCATATAAATGTGCTTGGGTGAGGGACTTGTGTCAGGTACCCGTACAATGCTGAGTGTATGTGTGTGTGTGTGTGTGATGGTCCATGGGCTTTGAAACAGGCATCGTGAGCCTCCTTAGAGTTTAATTATGGGTTACTTTGTACCAGACACTATGAATGTGCTGAGGTTATGCATACTTGATATTTAAACTCTGATTCTTGTTGGTTTGGTATGTATAACTGACATGCATGCATAGAGCAATATTATTCCTCGTGCGAATCAATATTTGATGACTTACTTGATGTTTAGAGCTTGATATATCACAATTTTATCTTATTAAATACCCGTCTAAGTGAATTTTATGGAAGTTGATACCTTGACTATTATATCTGAAAAGCATGTCTATTCTCCTTCTATTCTGTTATGCTGAGGCTATCATTATTTGAGTTGTTTTCTTTCATATTCTATAATTCTGCCGTTATTGTTACTATTGTGGAATGAGCATCGGACCTTTGCCAAGCTCGTCATTGCTTTTAACCCGAGGTTAAGCTTGATACTTATTGAGTATATGGGGTCAGTTGTACTGATACTACACTCTGCACTTCGTGTGCAGATCCAGGTGTTGATGACCATGGTAGTTTTCCATGAACCAGATCATGATTAGTGGGAGATATCGAGGTAGCACTGTTGTTCCGTTCGCGGTCCTTAAAGTCCCTTTCCTTGTTTCATGCAAACGCTGTTTAGTCTTTCGGACATGTTTACCTTGAAAATTATAATTACAATTAGATTTGATTTTGTGGTTCTAAAAATACGTGATCTATTTTTATGCTAGTTGTTTAGGCAATAGATGCTAAGTGAAAGACTTGAAGACTAGATAAGAGCTTGAAAACAAGGTGATAACCAAACCGAATGGATGATAAGGGCCTCGAGCTCGCTTATTCGGGGCCTCGGGGTCGAGTCCATATCTTGCCGAGGGTAGTCGATGGGTCACTAACAGCTATGATAAAATCAATGAAGGCTCTTTATGGCTAATAATGAGCAATAAATGAAGAACAATAAATAGAACGCAATGAATATAAGTAATAAATGCAAGTAATAGATCAAGAGAGTATGTTAGAGAGCAGAGAGAATGTTCTTGTGTATTTAATATTGCGCATTAGATGTCTACAAAATGACAAGGATCCCCTTTATATATGAGGGGAATCCTAGTATGGTACAAGTGCATTTATTACAAAGATATGAGATTGATACAACTATTTAGTGCCTCAGTACGGGCACATGTCAGCCTACCAACTCCCATCAAGTGCCTAGGGAACTGCCCACTTTCTTACTATGACTATCGATCCGCACTGTCCCGAGGTCGAACGTCGATAGCCCCTTGGATGTAAATCTCGACCGGAGCCTCGGGCCTTTGACTGACGTGCTTACAAAGCGTCGTAATCGCTGGAAATTGGAACCTCCGATTTTACCGTATACAGATAGTCCCCGCGTTTCTTAGATGAAAATGATAAGAAACTTTTCATCTAAGAAACGGCTACATTTTCATCTAAGAAACGGCTCTAACACCAATCTCCTCGAGCCTCGAGTGATGACGCCATGTATATGACATCAGCTTTCGTGATAACTGAGACGTCCTATCGATGCATCTTTCCCAGGAGCATTTATTACACTGTCAGTTTATTTTTTCAAAATAATAACGCTGCCACCGATCTGTCTCCCAAAAGTATTGATTGCCTCTGTCGATACGTTTCCAAAGAGAATTTATTGCGACTGTTGGTCGCTCTACCCTCTCTCTATAAAATAGAAGTTTCCTTGAATCAGACTTCACTCAGTCATTCTTCACCATTTTTCAACTCCTTTCTTCTCGTCACCCCCATCCAGTTTTATTTCCCATGCATAACGCCTATGGCCGTAAGGTCATGCGGCAGCGCTTTCACCGGCTACGCAATGGCCCTTTCTCGGAGCTATCTCCCTACGAACAAGATTGCACTAACTTATTGTTGTTATTATTGTTGTTGTTGTTGTTGCTACTGCTGTCGTCGTTGGCTCGAGACGATGAAATAGGGGTACCGATTTCTTCCTACTCAGGAAGATATTCGGACTCTACACCGCTGCTCAGGAGGATGTTCGGACTTTACACCGCTGCTCACCTCCCTACTCCGGACTGGTGTGGCACTTCATCCCTTTTGCTTTCCGTGGGGTGAAGTGGCACTACCGAACAATAGCTCGCATGGCACAATGTTCCAAGAAGTGGACTCAAAATGGTCGTGCGGGC